CAAGTACATAGTACATAGTACTACATAGTACATAGTACTACATACCCAAGTACATAGTACATAGTACTACATAGTACATAGTACTACATACCCAATTCCAAGTTCAGAATGGAGCTGAGGAAATAGAGCAGACAGACAGTAGTTGTGGTTGAGAATATATGGTCAAACGGAAAACAGCACCCGGTTAAGAATTCAGGTTAGCAAACCGAAGGGAACATTTGCGCCTGTTCTGCTAGAAGTCGAGAAACACAAACGCAGCCCGAGTTAAGAAGACAGCTGGAAGCACAACTTGAAAAACCAGAAGAGTAGAACCGAGTCACTATCGTTTTTAGAGAACCGCCTCGTATTATTATTGCTAAAAGCCTAGAACAAAAAAAAAAAAACGGGTTGAAAGCCGAGCTAAGAGCCGAGTCGAGAGCCGAGTTCAGCACCACCAAGTTGAAAAAAGTTGACAACTGAGTTGAGAATCTCCGTGTGAACGGAGTTAAACAAAAACAAAGATAGGAACCGTGGTGTAGAACCAAGGGGAGACCTGAGTTCAGAACTACTAAGTTCAGAATTGAGTTGGAACTTGGAAACATTGACGGAGTCGAAAACTTGACAGCAGAGCTGAGAAGAAGTGCCTGAGGCGCGAACTGAGATAAGACCTGAGAAGCGAACTTTAGTAGAGAACCAAGTTGAGACACAAGCTCGAGTCGAGAGCCGAGTTGAGAGTCGAGTTGCCAGCCGCGAGTTGACAGCCGACTTCAGAGTCGAGTTGAAAAGTTGAAAATGCGTTGAGAATTGACTTGTGAACTGAGTTGACAAGTTGAAAATGCGTTGAGATGAACTCAGCTTAGTGTGGAACCAAGTTGCGACCTGAGTTCCGTGTAGAACTAAGTTGAGACCCGCTTAGTCCACAACTCTTAGTGCACAACTCGAGTTCAGAACTACTAAGTTCAGAATTGAGTTGGAAACATCACAGGCTGACCGAGTTAAAAAGTTGACAACAGAGTTGACAAGAATTGCCTTGTGAACTGAGATAAGAAACTGACGCGCGAACTTAAGTGGAGAACCAAGTTGAGACACGAGTTCCGAAGTACGTTCAGAACCAACTCTCTCTCTCTCTCTCTCTCTCTCTCTCTCTCTCTCTCTCTCTCTCTTTCTGTGTGTGTGTGTGTGTGTGTGTGTGTGTGTGTGTGTGTGTGTGTGTGTGTGTGTGTGTGTGTGTGCTAGACTTCCCTTGTAAGGTCCTACCTACCTTCAGTCTTCAGCTGCACCTGGCTATGATCTGGTCCACATCACATACCGACTCCTCTCTCGGACCATCAGCCCGGCCTCTTTTGTTTTATACTGACGGTTGGAGACGGAGGCCGGGCTCTGTTCCGCTGTGGGTTCCAGAGCCCAGCCTCCGTCTCCGACCGTCAGCCTTGGGGGCTCGCCCCACAACTCGCCAAATGCGAACGTTTTGAATGTACCAGGACAAAGGGATCCTATACATCCGAAATGCTGGTGTTTGGCAAGTACTGCAGCAAGGCCCTTGGCCTCCACCCAGACACACGAGAAGCGAATAAAGGGCGACTTTGGCCGTCTGCTAGAGATATCCTGCCTCCAGGGCAGTAGACGGTCGCAAATATAACAGAAGTCAAACATCGATTCTGCCATGGAAACGCCTCAGCTAAGGTGCAAATCAGCAAAAATCGAGATTGGAACACCGTCGATGCTCCTTGTCTAGACAAGAATGACGTGGCATGCCCGTCAGAAGGTTATGACATGCTAAAAATAGAGAAACTCCTGATCAGCAGTTTGAAGAAAATCAAAGGGCTAAAAATAGAGAAACTCCTGATCAGCAGTTTGAAGAAGGTCAAAGGGGAGCGTTGGCACGATCTGTTACACAGCAGCCAAACAACGAAGAGACATGACCCACTGGAGTATGGGCCTCGCTTCACGACACAACCTTGGAATGAATCTGGACCTTGTGCTGGGCCCTGTACATTCAAAATGTGGGGTCCGTTTGAATGTATCCGCACTATATGTTGTACAAAAACATTGTATGTGAGCAATATGTTGTACGGATACATGTCAAATGTCGAGTAGGGGAGCGTCGAGTATTGGAGTTGGGCCCGATGTCTACACCACTGTTAGAGAAAGCAACCAAGGGGAGTGACCCCACTGGACTACGGGCCGCACTACACTGCGCAACATTCTACATGCATTGGATGCCTTTCTAGACCAGGTGCATTCAGAATCGTCAAACATTTTGAATGCATCTGGATAATAACAAAAAAAGCTCCCAATACACAAGAGTTTTGAATGTGTATCGGAGCGAGTCCGAACTATAGGTCTTTGTTAAGGAAGCTAACGGTCACCGTTGGACAGAGAGGATGGACTTTGCATGGCATGTGCTGAGACTCCAAAACCCAGACATGCCCATACCCTGGTGGAGCCCACAGCAAGCAACTTAGCCGAGAAGAGAATGGGACTAAAGACGTCAAAAAAACAAAAAAAACAAAAAAAAAAAACAGACTTAAGAAGTTTGCAAGCAGATATTAATGCCATGCATTGGACTACCGAACTTCAAATGCCGGTTCGCCCGAAGCTAAGTCAGCCTGTCACCAGTTTTTACATGGTAAGATCGTGAAGCTCCCCTCGGGCCTCGGGTAGTAGTGAAGGCGGACGACCCCACCACGAATTTGAAGTACTGGAGGCTCGTGTGAGCGTGTGAGTCTTGGAAGGTTCAGTAAACTGGTGGTTTAAACCACCAATACCTACCGCATTTTCCGTACCCCCCGGCCTCTAACAAACTTGGACAGGAGGGGCAGGCTGATTCGGTTTCCGCGTGGACGGCCAACCCAACCGGTAGGTACTGGTGGTTTAAGAACAGATAGACGTAGACAATGCTCAGTCGGGCCTTCCCCGATTTGGCTCGTGTGAACTGGTGGCTTCGTCGAATTTGGCTCGTGTGAACTGGTGGTTTAAGAAGAGACATAGACGTAGACAACGCTCAGTAGCCTTCCCCGAAGTAGGTTCAGTAAAGAATAATAGTGCGACGGAGGTGATACCAGAAGACTAGCAGGGATGACACCTGACGGAGCAAACCACAGGAGAGAGAGAGGACATACAGGGAAGCTGGTATGCTGATTTTCGAAGACATAGACAATGCTCAGTGTGGCGGTCCCCAAAGTAGGTCCAGTAGAGAATGGTATAAGAGAAGTCAGTTCAGCCAAAGGTCCAGTAGATGAAAGGTGACGGAGCAAACCACTGTAGATAGAGCACATGCAAAAGGACGCTGAAGGGGGTGCCGAGGAGGTTGAGTCGGCAATGGGAAATGAGATAGCCGAGGACGCACAAACACCGGAGAACATGTGCAGCATGCAACGCAGATTTACTCGGTCTTTTTACTTCAGTCAATATCAGTCAGTTCAGCCAAAGGTCCAGTAGATGAAAGGTGACGGAGCAAACCACTGTAGAGAGAGCACATGCAAAAGGAAGCTGAAGGGGGTGCCGAGGAGGTCGAGTCAGCAATGGGAAATGAGACAGCCGAGGACGCACAAACACCGGAGAATATGTGCAGCATGCAACGCAGATTTACTCGGCCTTTTTAACTTCAGTTAATATCAGTCAGTTCGGCGAGAGCAGAGAGGATGTTGACACATTTTGTTTCTGAACCATATAAGGGCGTACTCACACTACCACTATCTTAACTGTACCTGACCGAATTTACGGCCTGCTTCGCATGCATCTGGCTGCAATTCCGTCCAGAAGTCAAAACGTGCTAGTGTGAGTATGCCTTAAGTTACACATGGCAACGGTCAAAAAAAAAAAAAAAAAAAAAAAGAGGAATAGCGATGCTCCCTTCTCAAATAAGCAAAAGACTGCTTGCACCAGCAGGGTGGGCCTACCGTATTATTCGAATTGCTTCAAAAGAACAACGACAAGAGAGAGAGAGAGAGAGAGAGAGAGAGAGAGAGAGAGAGAGAGAGAGAGAGAGAGAGAGAGAGAGAGAGAGAGAGAAAGAAGAGGTAGTAGTGTGAGACACCAGTCGCCACCACCSCCWCCYGCAAGKGGACAAAATGCARCATTGGTCGACCCCMCCCMCMCCCCCCCCCCCCAAAAAAAAAAAAAGAAAAAGAAGCAGAGGTAGTGTGAAAGAGCCGCCAATTCCTCTTCTCAAAATCCGTTACGCAGAAACATTTCGTCATCGCGGAACTTAAACTTACCTCCTACTCTTGTCAAGCTTGCAGACGAAGCGGTTTCCTCTGCTTTCGAATCTTGCAGTTGTCGGCTCTGCCGCTCAAACTCTAACCGCTTTTCCCTGAGCAGCTGATCATCTCGCCGCACTCCCTCGTGCAGGTTCGCTCTCTCAACAAGCTGGCCGTAATGCACGAAGTAGATCCCCGCACCTGTAATCGCAGCCACCGACACTAGCGTGATCGCCGCCCACCGACCCATGCCTTAGCCGTCCAGCCGCAGACAGGAGGGGGTCCGTACAATCTGTACAAAGTAAGCGTGTGCCCCGGCAGTTCGCTCAGCCCTGCACGCCTGGCATTACCAGATGACATCCGCACGCATCTACACATCTACACATCTGCAAATTGCCCATTCCAAAAAAAAAAAAAAAAAAAAAAAAAAAAAAAACCACAGCTGACGGCGGCATGTCTGGGAGTGTAGCACACATCCATCTCTCCTCTACCGGACCCACTTCAGTGGCGTTACGCTTTTATATATACACAACCAGTGCCTTTCCCATAGTACATCGGCCGCGGGCGGGGGAAAGCAAAAGGCTGAAAGCGAAAACGGGCCGCCGATTGAATTTATCAACGGCAGACTAAACCCCGCTCACACAACTTAAACCACCAGTACCTTTCCCATATTACATCGGCCACGGGCAGGGGAAAGCAAAAGGCTGAAAGCGAAAACGGGCCGCCGATTGAATTTATCAACGGCAGACTAAACCCCGCTTGGCCACCACGTCACCCAGCTAGGGCGATAATTACCAGGCGTTCTATTCGGGTGAAGACGGCACCGCTTGAAAAGTAACAAAAAAGCGATGCAATGGAAGAAAAGCAATGCTGGGCGCGAACGCTCACGAGAGCAGCAATGCGATGAAAACAAGAGTGCTAGGCACAACTGGTCATGAAAACAGCAATGCAATGAAAACAAACTAGTGCTTGCACGCACACTTCTACTTGCGTGAAAGCCAACGAATAACAGCATGGAAGCTATAATGCGTGAAAGCCAACAAGTGGAAGCTATATTCTTGCGTGAAAGCCAACGAATAACAGCTGGTAATGACTGCCCACAGCTTTCACGGCAGTCATTCAGTGTGATGAAGCAGCAATGCAATGACACACACACACGCACACACACACACACACACACACACACACACACACACACACACACACACACACAAAAAAAAAAAAAAAAAAAAAAAAAAAAAAAAAAAAAACATTGAAAACAATGTCGCGCACGACTGCTGATGAAAACAGCGATGTGATAAAAAAACTCCTAACTAATGATTGCAAGCTTCCACTTGCAGAAACTGAAACAGCTGGACAGGACTGCTCATGACTTTAGGGAAAAGTGCTCATCACTATGACCCTCAAAATATTATATTATGTTCCGAACAGCTGGCCAGCACTGCTCGTGCCTTTCACGGGCATTGCTGTTTTCATCACATTGCTGTGCTGTTTTCATCACATTGCTGTTTTCATCGCACTGATGTTCAACCCCCCTGCCTCAGTCATGCGACGAAAACAGGACTGTGAAGAAAACAGCAATGCCATGAAAACAGCAATGTGATGAAAACAACAATCCCCAGATTCCCCACACACTATGATGACACTATACATACCTTTCTTTGTCCAAACAGTTTTCTTTCGCCAAACTTGGAAACATATTTGTATTTTTCTAGGCTACCAGAGTGGCCCGGGGTCGCTTGCCCGGCCGGGCCAAAAAAAAAAAAAAAAAAAAA